GCTGATGAAAGTAAAATGCTGTGTTCCTCTATGATTAATGATTGTCTTTTATTTACTCATATTTTTTATTTTCTAACTTTATGTGTGCACATGTGTGTATACAGAAGTAGCTTTGGGTGTCTTCCTTGATTGCTTTCTACCTATTTTTAGAGATAGGGCCTCTCACTGAGCCTAAAGCTCACTGATTGAGCTAGACTAACTGGCTAGCTAGCTAGCCCCAGGGATCCTTCTGTCTTTCACTCCTTGATACTGGCATTATAGGCAGGTACATCAGTTCTGGTGCATTAAACTCGGGTCTTCATGCTTGCATGACAAGTACTTTACCAACTGAGCCATCTTTCTATCCCCAAGTCTCTTAACTTTTTCCTGACGCTGTTAAATGTCCCAGTTTATTTTTTGCCTAGTCAAACCTATTAGATAGTCATCAGTGCTATGGGTCTAAAATGTTCTCCAAAGTCCTGTGTGTTAAGGACTTGGTTCTTAGCTTCATGCTATTTGAAGAAGATGAAAACTTTTTTGGAGGGGGGGCATCTTTTTGAGACAGGATCTCTTTTTACCCCTACTTGGCCTGGAATTCCCTATGTAGATCAGGCTGGTTTTGATCTCACAGAGATCCACCTGCCTCTGCCTCCCGAGTGTTGGGATTAAAGGCATGTGCCACTACTCCCAGCAGATGGAAACTTTTGAAGATGGGGCCTAGAGAGAGGCCTTCAGGTTGTTGAGATAATAATTTCTAACGGGATGATGGGACCTTGGTGTCTTCCCTCGTTTTTGGATCTCTTATTTGCCAATCACAAGGAAGCAAAGTTCCTGGATCACATATTCCCACCATGATATGCTGCTTTCACTCTACAAGTGGTCTCAGTTCCAATGCAGTCAAATGTCAATAGCATGAACCTTTTCATTTAGCATGCTGGATACTCTATAGAGTCTCATGAGATGGAAGCCCATGCCATTTCTTCTCCTTCCCTCCTCTTTCTTTCTCTTTATTTCTTTCTTTCTTTCTTTCTTTCTTTCTTTCTTTCTTTCTTTCTTTCTTTCTTTCTTTCTTTCTTTCTTTCTTTCTTTCTTTTTTGGTGTGTGTGTTAGTATGTGTGCACAGATACAGGTGCCTGCTCAGCCCAGAGGCATTGTATCCCTTGGAACTAGAGTTACAGAGAATTGTGATTGAGTAGTCCAGCATGGTGCTAGGAACTGAAGTTGGGTCCTCTGGAAGAACACCAAGTGCTCTTAACCACTGAGCCATCTCTCCAGCCCCTGCCCCCTTCACTTTTTAAGAAAGGGTCTCATTATATACCTACACTGGCCTTGAACTCATAGTCCTGCCTTAGTCTAGTACTAGGCATTACTGTCATTTCTTATTGGTGGCCTTCCTCAAATGGCAGTCTGTGCCTCTCCATTGACATTTTAAAAGTGTGTCGGATTAAACAACTTCAGTGCAGAATATTTTGCTGAAGGAGGAATGCCTTTGTAAAACAGATAGCCAGCTAATTTTTTAATGAGAAGAGTCCACCAAGTTTTGTAGATTTCGGGTGTGTGTGTGTGTATGTGTGTTGGCTCCATAAAGATTTTTCAGAAAAGGATCTTCAGAGGGTGATGTGGAGCTGTAAATGTATCTACTAGTCTTCTGAGATGGGCAGGTGAAGGAAGGTGAGAAATCATGTATGCTATATACATAGCCCACCTGAGTTGAGAGCATGCACACATTTTTTTCATGTGCACATGCTTTTCATACACTCACACAGATTTTTTTTTTTTTTTGGAGACAGGGTCTCCCTGTATCCCCAGCTAGCCTGAAAGTCACTATGTGCTATGTAGACCAAGCTTGCCTTGAATTCACAGAGATCCGCCTGCCTCTGCCTCCTGAGTGCTGGGATTAAAGGCACATACCACCATGCCTGACTTTCATGCAGATTTTTTTGGTAATTCTTATTTTGGATCTGTGCTGTGATTCCCATGATTTTGCTTTAACTCTTTGACACCTCCAGTTCTAAGTCTTCTTACTTTGTCTCCGCTTGTGGATCATTTGCCATTTCCCATCCATTTTCTTCCTAAATTGTGTCAGGATTACAGATAATCAAATATTTATACTGTATAAATAAATGCTTCAGTAAGTAAGTGGTTGAGAATATGCAAATTCCAAACAATCCATTAGGGAAGTGGATTGTAATTCTCCACTATTATATTCGAGCTGTGATAGTGCTCTCTTTGTTCTTTCTAGAAAGTGAATTTGGGAAGATTGAGCCAACAAGATAGTAGAAAACATGGTCTCAGACTAGGCAGCCAAGGTTCAAGTCAATAGTTGCCATGCTGGTGGTATATAAGCCATGCTGTGTGATGAGAATGACACTCTGCTTCTGTGGTCTTCCTCCCCAGGCATGTTACCCAAGTCTAGATAGGAGAAAAATTGTCATACAAACTCCAGTTGAGGGGTATCTTATTAAACACTGATTCAGTCCTAAAAGCTGGGGTGTGTGTGTGTGTGTGTGTGTGTGTGAGAAACAATTTATTATACAAAACAAGATGCATCAAAATGCAGGGTCAGAAGAGCTCTGCATGCTAAGGGCCAAATTTTCTCCCTTAAAATCTCGCCCAACCCTTTCTAAGGAGTCAAGCTAGCTACACAGTTCTAGATGTAGATGTATATGAGCCTAGGACAGTGGGGCAGGCACCATCGCAGGTCACAGCACTGGAGCCACAGGTCATCAAGTGGGGAGAAGCGCCTTCTAGGAAATGCTGTACAAACACCCAAGTCCTCTATAGCAGCCAAATTAGGAATGTGGAGCCCATCAGAATCATGACAGGAGTGGTTAAGAGTACTGGATGCTCTTGCAGGGGACCTGGGTTTGGTTTCCAGTACACACATGGCACATAACAACCTTCCCTAAGTTTAGTTCCAGGGGATGCAATATCCTCTTCTGACCTCTGTGGACATTGCACAACATGGGTACACTTACATACATGCAGGCAATACACTCATACACATAAAATAAATTGAAAAAAAAAATAATAGGAAGCTGGGTATGGTGAAAGAGGCAGATGGAGCTCTGGGAGATTAAGACCATCCTAGACTACATAAGGAGTTCCAGGCTTGCTGGGACCGTAGTGAGACCCTGTCTCAAAAAACAACCCACAAAACAAAAAGCCAGTTGTGGTGGTGCACACTTTTAATTAATCCCAGCACTGGGGAGGCGGAGGCAGGTAGATCTCTATGAGGTCAAGTCCAGCTTGGTCCACATGGCTTGTTCCAGGGTGGGTAGAGCCACAGGGAAAGCCTGTTGCAAAAAAAAAAAACAAAAAGTTGATGACAGGTAATTCCCCCCAAGATGCCAACTGTAAAATAGATTATATGTAAATGAAGCAAGAGTTGACTGCCTTTGGAGACAACTGTGCAGGCATGTAACCCTCTAACCTCCATCTTGTATAGAGGAGCAAGCATCTAGTCAGCACCAGAGATTGCCATAGAGTGTCGCTGACTCTCCTCATCATCCCAGCCAGGCTCCTTAAGATATTCTACCTCCTCCCTTGTTCCTCCAACCCAGCAGGGTGGAGCTTAAAAAACCCATTGGGCCAGGCGTGGTAGTGCACGCCTTTAATCCCAGCACTTGGGAGGCAGAGGCAGGTGGATCTCTGAGTTCAGGGCCAGCCTGGTCTACATAGTGAGTTCCAGGACAGCTGGGGCTACAGGGAGACCCTGTCTCAAAAAAAAGACAAAAAAAAAAAAAAAAAAAAAACCCACTGGGACACTGAGAGGGAGCATTCTGCAGACACTGAGAAGCAGTGCTTACTGCAGAGGCTAAAAACAGGCTCACATAGCCTGATTAAAATTTATTGATAATATGACCCAGGTTGGGGTATTCAGAATTCTCTGTACTGACTTTGCAGTATTCTGTAAAGCTAAAGTTGTTCTAAAATTAAAAGTCTTTTGAGAATTCATTTAAAGACAGAAAGGCAAAGGGTGGTACATGCCTATAATTCCAGCCCTTGGGAGGTGGAGGTAGGAGTGCTTAGGAGTTCAAGACTGGCCTTGGCTATATAAGTTTGAGTTTGAGGAACTAGCAGGACATGGTAGCGCACGCCTTTAGTCCCAGCACTCAGGAGGCAGAGGCAGAGGCAGGTGGATCTCTGAGTTTGAGGCCAGCTATGGTTACAGGGAGACCCTGTCTCAAAAAGACCAAAGAGTTTGAGGGACTGTATAAGAGCCTATCTCAAAAAACTAAAACCAAAGCAAACAAAAAGACTGTATCTAATTAAACCGCATCCTGTTAATCAAATGAATTGGAGAACATGAACCATTTATTTTTGACACTCAGTATTTTGAATCTTTTGTGAAATTAAGTCTTGTCTCCCTGAGGATGCCGTCTCAAAATTAGGGTGGGTGTAGTATCATGCAGTATCATGTACTTGCAGCTACTTAAGAGACTGATGCAGGAAGATCACCTGAACCAAGGTCTTCAGGATCAGCCAGGGCAATGTAACAAGTGAATAAATAAATGACACTGACACAGGTATTGCTTGTTGAGTTTAACAAATTATATGCAGTACAGGGTACAAGGAACTGGTAAAGATGAAGTTGGAGTATTAGCTATCCTGATATAAATTCGTGTGTTAGCTGAGCATGGTGGTATACACCTGTGGTTGTAGCACTTGGGAGGTAGAGGCAGGAGGATCAGGAGTTCAAGATCATCCTCTCTTACATAGCAAGTCTGAGACCAACCTGAGCTACATGAGACCCTGCTTCAAAAACTAAATCCATGCAAAGAAAAATATGGAATGTTTAAAATATCAAGATAACTTTGATGAGAGGGGGCAAATATCAGTCATGTACATGTATGAAAATATGAAATGTTGATTCTGAATAATGTATGCTTATAAAGGATAACTTGCTGATTATAATTATAGCTTGAGTATGGAGGTTTTTCTGATTATTGGCTCTTGTTTACGATTTATTTTCACTAATAGGCTAAGAGTTTGATTTTTTTTTCCTGCCTTTATTGCAGAATACTTCAGACTTTGTGTCGAAAACTGAGACTTCCTGACACTTTTGATTTTTGTCACTTAGCACACTTAACACCAGGCTTCGTTGGTGCTGATCTGATGGCACTTTGTCGAGAGGCAGCCATGTGTGCAGTCAATAGGGTCTTGATGAAGCACCAGGAGCAGCAGAAGAAAAATCCCAAGACTGAAGACTTGCCATCTGAAGGAAGCAATGAGGAAAGGCTAGGAACTGAGCCCACCTCTCAAACACAGGTCTTTTAGGTTTTTTTTTTTTTAATCTTACCTTACATATAAGTTGTGTCAGTATGACTAAGATGTAGTACTTTACAACAAAAGTTTTTCAGCTCCTGCTAGGTCATTGGCCTTTAGTTATTCTCATGGTTAAGTCTGTTTTTGGTAGACTGGCATAGCTTACTCACAAAACCATGTCCTGTCCTCAGCTGTAGTCATCTGAGTATGAAGATGATGTTTATCAGTCCAAGATCTATGTTGTTTTTGAGGGTTCTTAAAATATTTCTATTATTTTTTTATTTTATTTATTTTTATGTTTATGAGTGTATTGCCTGCATGTATGTAAATGTACCTATGCCGTGCAGTGCCCAAAAAGGTCAGAAGAGAGCATCAGATTCCCCTAGAACTGGAGTTAAAGACAGTTTTTTTTTTTATTAGTTTTGAGGCAGGGTTTCCCTGTAGTCCCAGCTGGCCTGGAATTCACTCTGTAGGCCAGGCTGGTCTCAAACTAACAGAGATCCACTTGCCTCTGCCCCTGCCCCTGCCCCTGCCCCTGCCCCTGCCCTGCCTTCCAAGTACTGGGATTAAAGGTGTGCACCACCACGAAAGATGTTCTTAGCCACCTTTTGGGTTCTGGAAATCGAACCTACATCCTCTACAAGAGCCATCTCTCCAGCCCCAAGTTTTTGAGCTTTTAAAGCCATAAAATCTCAGTGTTAACATATATATATATATAGAGAGAGAGAGAGAGAGAGCAGCATTGTGTAGTTTGGATAGGTGGCTTCTAAACATTATTTAAAGAAATTTATTTTCTCATTTTGTTATCAAAGATACTAACTTTAAGAGAATGTAATTTGCCCAGATCCACATGGCTCCTACTTTGCAGATCAGGTACTTAAGTCCAGGCCTTATTTTTTTGGTTTTTTGGTTGTTTGTTTTTTATCTTTTTGAGACAGGGTCTCCCTGTAGCCCCAGCCAGCCTGCCTCTGCCTCTGCCTCCCAAGTGCTGGGATTAAAGGCGTGCGCCACCATGCTCAGGCTTATTTATTGGTTTTAATTAATTATTTTTATGTATATGTGTGTTTTGCCTGCATGTGTGTAAGGGCACCTATGTATGCAGTGCCTGCAGGGGCCAGAAGATGGTGTAAGATTCCCCGGGAATTAAAAAGTTGTTAGCTTGGATGTGGGTGCTGAGAATCGAACCCAGGTCCTCTGCAAGAGCAGTCAGTACTCTTAACTACTGAGCTATCTCTCCAGCCCAGGTTCTTTTATTTTAATCTGATTACTAATATTAATTCTCATATGACATAGCACACAGTAAATCTATCTATCTACATATACATACACACAGAATGAATATAAATTTAAGAAGCTTAAACAGAGTTTAAAAGATTTCAGAAGTGGGCTGATAAAAATGGAAATAGTAACCCCAACCAGCCTTCATGAAGAAGCTGTTTGCCTTCTTCCCCTGTTGCCTTACAACCCCCCCTACCCTTTGTGTGTGTGTGTGTGTGTTTTTTACTTGCTTGTAGGTAAGTGCACCCATGTTGTGCAATGCCTGCAGAGGACAGAAGAGGCTGTCGGATCCCGTTGAACTGGAGTTATAAACAGTTGTTAGCTGCCATGTGGGTGCTGGGATTCGAACCCAGGTCTTCTGCAAGAACAGTCAGTGTTCTTAACCACTGAGCAATCTCTCCAGCCCCAATAAATCCTTTTTTTTGGGGGGGTCTTTTTGAGACAGGGTCTTCCTGCAGCCCCAGCTGGCCTGGAACTCACTATGTAGACCAGGCAGGCCTTGAACTCACAGAGATCTGCCTGTCTCTACTTCCCAAATGCTGGGACTACAGGCGTGTGAACCACGCCCGGCTCTAATAAATCCTTTTTTGAAAAAGAATAAATAATAAGCTGTGCTCTCTCTCCAGCCTCCCCCCCCTTTTTAGATATATATAATATATGGGTGTATTGCCTGCATGTAGGTAAGTGCACCCATGTCATGCAATGCCCACGGAGGACAGAAGAGGCCATCAGATCCCCTGGAACTGGAGTTACAGACAGTTGTTAGCTGCCGTGTGAGTGCTGGGATTCAAACCCAGCTCTTCTACAAGAACAGCTGGTGTTCTTAACTGCTGAGCCATCTCTCCAGCCCCCCTCCCCTCCCCTTTAGAGTTTTTCAATCTGAGTTGCTTAGTTACCTAAAATTATTTTCTGCACTTGTCCTTCCATGTTCTTCACAAAGCATGATATCTGCCTTTGAAGAAATCCATAGGACTAAGAAAGTTGCCTACGCTGTATTTGGTTAATAAGCCATCATTTGTATTGTCACCAGAGTAACTTTGTCTGAATTAAAAGCTTTATAATTCTTAAAAATATTTCATTTTTAGGGCCAGGCGTGGTGGTGCATGCCTTTAATCCCAGCACTTGGGAGGCAGAGGCAGAGGCAGACAGATCTTTGTGAGTTTGAGGCTAGCCTGGTCTACATAGTGAGTTCCAGGACAGCTGGAGCTACAGGGAGACCCTGTCTCAAAAAGACCAAAAAAAAGAATTTCATTTTCGACTCATCTATTTTGATTTTCTGTTTTTGAGTGTATTGCCATATCATGCAGTGCCCACAGAGACCAGAAGAGGGCATCAAATCCCCTGAACTGGAGTTATGGACGTTTTTTAGCTGACATGTGGGTGCTGGGAACCCAACCCTGGTCCTCTACAAGAGCAGCCAGTAGTGCTCCTTGCTGCTGAGTCATCTCTTCGGCCTCTTATTTTGTCTTTTTACACAGGGTCTCACTGTGTAGCCCTGGCTGGCCTAGAACTCACTATGTAGATCAGGCTGGCTTCAAACTCACAAAGATATGTCTGCCTCTCCCTCTGCCTCCAGAGTGCTGGGGCATGTGCCACCGTGGCAGCCAGCTTTATGAATATTTTTAAATGAAATGGAAATTTATGAAATATTTGCCAGCTGCTTATGTTTGCTGTATCTAGGTCCAGTGTAAGATTTAGAAATCATTTTCTCCTCTCTTTCTTTCTCTCTTTCTGTCTCTCTTCTTTGAGAGAGGGTCTCATGTTGACCATTCTGGCTTCAAACTTAAAATAGCTCCTATCCTTCTATTTGCCAAGTACTAGCATTATAGTTATGAGCCACCAGCTCTGGCCTAGAAATTTCTTTTATATATTTCATTATAATTGATGTTATCTTTATTTAACCAGATATATGACCTATTTAGAATAAAATGAATGTATCTTGTATCAAGGAGAGAAAAAATTATTAAAATACGTGTAAGTTCACTATAACTTATAGAATGTTAGAATTTTTAAATGAAGTGTAACTTTCGGATTAAATTTTTTTCTCTCAATTGTTTCCTTAAAGGATGAATTGCAAAACCTGCTGGGGTTGCTACGAGACCAGGATCCCCTCTCAGAGGAGCAGATGCAAGGACTGTGCATTGAATTGAATGATTTTGTTGTTGCCCTAGCATCGGTCCAACCTTCTGCCAAAAGGGAGGGCTTTGTTACTGTCCCTAATGTGACATGGGCAGATATTGGTGCCTTGGAAGATATTAGAGAGGAGCTCATAATGGCAATATTGGTAGGTGTATCAGCTGTAAATATCATTGACATATGTGCTGAGTTAATATCTAAAGGTAATACTGCATGCCTGTCTACCAGATTATAATTTTAAACTGACTTGATTATATGTTTTTCCCTCTCCCAATATATATTTCAAGGTCTCAAAGTGTGGCTCACCATGTACACAAATCCTCTTTTGCTACACTAGGGAGACTTAGGGGAAATGGAATGAAGCCAGTTCAGATTTTCCCAACTAATATGCTTTCTGTCCATTGTTCATAACAAATTGAGACATAGGAGATGGGATAGAAGAACCCATAATCCTCTAGTACCACTTGAACACAAAGGTCACCCCTTTCCTTCAGTCATTGCTTTATTTCCACAGTGGAAATCAGGTAGTTCCCCCACTGTGTTCCTGGTATGGATCTGGTTGGGGAAGTGACTAACAAAAGAACTTTCATGATATCTTCTGAATGAAGTTAACTTATAAAGGTGTCCTTGCTATAATGTACAGCTTAGTATTTGTGGTCTTTTTTTTTTTAATTTATTTTTATTATCTTTATTGTTTATATGTATATGTGTCTATCTGGGTTTGAGTGTGCAAATGTGTGTAGGTGCTTGCCAGGACCAGAAGAGGATATTGGATTCCCTAGAGTTGGAGTTATAGGCAGTTCGTTGTTAGTTGCCTGTTGCGGATACTGGGAACCAAACTTTGGGTGTCCTGTGATGAACACCAAGCACTCTTAACCACTGAACCATTTCTTGGGCCGGCCTGCGAATCCCAGAACCCACACGGCGGCTAACAATCATCCACGGCTCCAGTTCCAGAGGATCCAACGCCCTTTTCTGACCTCCTTGGGCACTGCACGACACAGGTGCACTTGCACACATGCAGGCAATATACTCATACACATAAAATAAAAATAATAGGAGCTGGAGAGATGTCTCAGCAGTTAAGAACACTGGTTGTTCTTGCAGAAGACCCTGGTTCAAATTCCAGCACCCACATGGCAGCTAACAGCTGTCTGTAACTCAAGTTCCAGGGGATCCAACGGCCTCTTCTGTCCTCCACGGGCATTGCACAACATGGTGCACTTACCTACATGCGGGCATAACACTCATACTCATAAAATAAAAATAATAAATAAAATATTCTTTAAAAATTTGAAATAAAGAAATGGGTTTAATAGGGGTTGCAGAATGGTAAACAGTATATTGCTCCAAACTTTCCCTCCCTAACCCACTCCCAGTAAACCCCTATGTTATATAACTCTGAGTCTACAACAGAGCTAATATAAAGCCTGGATTCAGTATGCTACCTAGTGTTAAAGAGTAGTAATGACTACAGGCTTAGCATAAGGCACAGGCAAAAACAGACTCTGGTAGTTAAATGTTTATGAGTATTCCATTATTGTCATTATCAGATATTGTGTTGGTGTCTGCAAATATTACCTGTCCATGGGAGAATGGTTTGTTTTGTTGCTGCCTGGCACATAGAACAGCTATATGGTAGCTTGCTGCAAGATATACGAGTTACTGTAACTAGGATTCAGAAGACTGTTCTCACTACAAGAAATGATTTAAACACATGTCTTTTGTATACTCTGGAGATAGTTATTCTCAGTAAAGTCATGATACAGAAAGTCATTCTGGAGAGAATGATCAAAAGCTTAGTAGATACTTCAAAGGAATTCATAAATATCCTTTAGTTAATCAAAAAGTATTTATTAAGATGCTAGATATGGAAGGGAATCAGCTATAGTTTGTCATCTTTTTTAGGTCTAAATAGTCCCAACAATGGGATGTCATTTTCTTGAGATGTTTCATACTCATTATTCTGGTTGTACTTGATTTTTATACAGTGAGTTTAAGAAAAAAAAGTTCAGGACTGATCCAGGATTAATTTGTCTGACAACCACTTTTTTAACTTGTTCACTCAGAGTGGGTCAAACCAAAGTATAACTGGAATTGAATTTGACTGTGTGTTTGAGTGCTGCTGCTTCTGATTTCCTAGTGGAGGCTTTGACCTAAACTTTTGTAATTAGAAGTCTGATTATTTTCTACAGCTTGATTTTTCATGATTTTTTTTGGTCTTTTTTGAGACAGGGTCTCTGTGTAGCCCCAGCTCTCCTGGAACTCACTATGTAGACCAGGCTGGCCTTGAACTCACAGAGATCCGCCTGCCTTTGCCTCCTGAACGCTGGGATTAAAGGCATGTGCCACCATGCCCGGCCACAACTTGATTTTAATATATTAAAATATTGTATCTTTGGGGAGATGACTCAGTGGGTAAAGTGCCTGGTGCCAAGTGTGAGGACTTGAATTTGTGTCACCAGAAGCCTTGTAAAGCCTGATGTTATAGGGTGTGTTTTTAATCCTGGTGCTCCTACCAGGATCTGGGAGACAGAGACAGGAGAGTTCCTGGAAGCTTGTGGACCAGCTAACCTGGTATACACAGTAGAAAAAAACAAGCTGTCTCAAAAAACTAGATTGTTCTCTGACCTACTCACTGTGGCACACACGTGAAAGTTTTTTAAAAATTAATGAAATGTTGTCTCTTTATGTCAAACTGTTCTCTGAATTTATATATATGTATAAATTCCTTAAGAACAGAGACTTTCTATTTATCACCTTGTGCCTGATGTCTGAAACAAGGGTCAGCCAAACTCTGTTCATATTCTGAGGCCTCAAGGTCATTGTTGAAAATATGAGAGATGAGATACATGTGAACATCAGTGTTAAGTGGATGCCTGTATTGGCTCCCTGTTGGCATTGTTTCCTCCAGGCACCAGTACGAAATCCAGACCAGTTCAGAGCTCTTGGCTTGGTGACTCCAGCTGGCATACTGCTAGCTGGTCCTCCTGGATGTGGGAAAACTTTACTGGCAAAGGTATTGTACAAGTTTCATTGTGTGCATTTTATTTTCTGCTGTTTCATGTAGGATAATAGGGGTTTAATAAGGGTTGTCATGAAATAAATCTTTTGCATACTTTCCATTAGAAATCCATTTTAGCAAAATTGATCTTTTTTTTTCTAGTAAAAATTCCCATGTTTATCGTTCTTTAGGACCAAATTATTTTAATCAGTTTTATCACCCTCACTTCTGGGAAGAAAGCAAGAAAAATGCTCAAGTCCTCTCCCCTGAGGACAGAAGGGATTATGTGTCTCTCAAGAGATAGTCATGAACTTACACGGCATTCTTATACCATGCTAATCTTTGAATTGTCCCCGTTTTAGCCAAAGCAAGCAGTTCTCCCCCTTTTTTGGAGGAAAGGTGCACCATTGAAAAATGTTTAAATCAATCATAGCTTTAGTTTTAACACAGCAATTATATTTCTGTGTATTGTATTGTCTTTTTAATAATGAGATTACATAACTTTAGTTTGTAGCTGATCTTGTTTCCTGATTTAGTTTAATTACTATAACTTGAGTATTTTCTCTTACAGTCTTCACAGTTATTACAAATGTTTTCACAATCTTAAAAATTTTTTACAATAGAAAATATAAGCAGAAGGGAAGAGTATTATTTATAGCCCTCCTCCTGCTACATGCTACTGTCATTGTTTGATTTTGTTGTCAGTCTTTTAGATATATTTGTGTGTGTGTGTGTATCAAGAGAACATATGCAAGATAATTTGTTAATTAGATGTGTTGCTGTGATCAAATACTTGCAACTACTTAAAAGTGGAATGACATATTGTCACTCATAATTTCTGAGACTTCAGTCCAGTGTCTGTTGGCTCCATGTTTCAGTGCCTGTGGTGAGGGAGAACAGCATGGTCGATGGGCATGACAAAGAAAACTGCTTACCTTATTGCAGCCAGGAAGCAGAGAAGGAGCAAGGCATGAAGAGGCTAGGGAGAAGATAAATTTTCGTAGAGCTTACTCCTAGTGACCTATGTCTGCACTACTACCTCTCAATAATGAGATCTTTTTTTTTTTTTTTTGGTCTTTTTGAGACAGGGTCTCCCTGTAGCCACAGCTGTCCTAGAACTCACTATGTAGACCAGGCTGGCCTTGAACTCACAGAGATCCACTTGCCTCTGCCTCCCGAGTGCTGGGATTAAAGGCGTGTGCCACCATGCCCGGCTTTTTTTGGTCTTTTTAAAATAAGCCCCAGCTGGCCTGGAACTCACTATGTAAACCAGGCTGGCCTTGAACTCACAGAGATCCTCCTTCCTCTGCCTCCCAAGTGCTGGGACTACAGGTATGCACCCGAGGTCAGCCTATATACCCGTCTGAGATCAGATTATTAATGAATCAATGAAAACAAGCCATTGATAAGGTCAGGTCTCTTAGGATTCAATCACTTCTCAAAAGCCTGTGAGCTGGAAGCCAGTCATTAATATTTGAGACTATGAGCCTTTGGAGAGACACTTTATATCAAAACCATAACAGTAATATATGTACTTTTTTTTTTTTCTTTTTGGTCTTTTTGAGACAGGGTCTCCCTGTAGCCCCAGCTATCCTGGAACTTGGTTCATAGATCAGGCTGGTCTTGAACTCACAGAGATTGCCTGTCTTTGTCTCCCAAGTGCTGGGATTAAAGGTGTGTACCACCATGTCTGGCCCATATGTTTATTTTTACAAAATACAGTCTAAATTTTTTTCTTTTTTAGTGATATAGGATCTCACTATGTAGCCCTGTGTGGTGTGGAACCTACTAGTAGATCAGGCTGGCCTTGAACTCAAAGAGATTAACCTGTTTTCTGTCTCCCAAGTGCTGGAATTAAAGGCGTGGGCCATCATGCCCAGCCTCTATTATTGAGGGGATGGGTGTGGTGTCTTGCCCTGTGTCCTAGGTGGGCCTGGAACTTACTGTATAGTGTAGGCTGACCTCAGACTCTGGGAGATCCTCCTACCTTAGTCTCTTGAATGCTGGGATTTTAAGTGTTCATTACCATACCTGGCTTCAAATACAAGCTTTTTAATAAAGCATGTTCTTCTTGCTTAGCATTATTTCCTAAACTTCAATGTTTTTAGTACCTTGGGCCAGGGAGATTACTCCACTGGTTAAGGCATTTGCCACCAAACCTGAGGACCTGAGTTCAGCCATATGGCAGAGAGAGAGAACTGGCTCCCCTAAAAGTTGTCCTCTGACCTCCCCAAGAAAGCTCTGGCGTGTGCATACCCACAAATATGCATATACACAAAATAAATATAAATTTGATTTGGGCTGGAGAGATGACTCAGCTCTTCCAGAGGACCTGTGTTTGAGTTCCAGTGTCCACATCAGACAGCTTACATCCACCTATAGCTCTAGCTCCATATACAGTCATATGTGCATACATAAATACATACAATTAAAAATAATGAATAAATCTTTAAACTTCCTTTTATTTAAATATTTGTAGTGTATTATAGTTTCCCATATAACCCGTATCATATTTTTCCATAAAGATGCTTTGTACTTTATTGTAATGATCCTCCGTTAAAAATAACACTACAGCTGGATGTGGTGGTACACACCTTGGGAGACACTTGGGAGGCAGAGGCCTGTGAGTCTCTGTGAGATGGAGGCCAGCCTGATCTACATAGGGAGTTCTAGGCCAGCCAGGGCTACAGGCAGACCCTGTCTCAAAACAAACGGGCTGGAGAGATGGTTAGTGGTTAAGAGCATTGGCTGCTCTTGCAGAGAACCTGGGTTCAATTCCAGCACTCACATGGCAGCTGACAACCGTCTGTAACTCTAGTTCCAGGGGATCCAATGCCCCCTTCTGATCTCCGCAGGCATTGTACATGAGTGCACTTACATACTTGCAATACACTCAGACATAAAATAAAAATAATAAATATATTTAAAAAAAACAAATAATGGTAATAATGCGACAGTCTGGGTGTAGTCACACAAGCTTATAACCATAGTACTTGGTAGCTGGAGGCCAGAGGATCAGGAGCGTAAGTTCTTCCTCTGCTACACAGTGAGTTTGAGGCTAGCCAAGGCCACATGAGACTTTGATTCAAAAAACAAAACAAAGCTGGGTGTGGTGGCACGTCTTTGACCCCAACACTTGGGAGGCAGAGACAGGTGGATTGCTGTGAGTTCCAGGCCAGCTGGGGCTACAGGGAGACCCTATCTCAAAAAGACCAAAACAAAACAAAAAAAATCCCAATATATTATGTAATCACTTGTACTCACTAGTAATTTTATCAGAATGTAGTTCTAAATAATTTTTTAGTGTCTAGAATGCATGTTTAAAATTTTTAAACTATGTTATCAAGATGACTTTCTTATAAGTTTGTGCCAGACCCTTATTAATAGTTTGAGTACTCATCTCCTCATAACTTAAATTTGCAGTGGCCATTTAAAACTGCTTTTAATGGTTGACAATCACCCCCAAGTGGCTGGTTTTTTTTCTATTTGTCTTATTTGTATATTTTTGTTTCCTCTGGCTAGGCTGTGGCAAATGAGTCTGGACTAAATTTTATATCTGTCAAGGGTCCTGAATTACTAAATATGGTAAGTTGAGCCTCCTGAGTGTTGGGATTAAAGGCATGCACTATCCACATCTGACTAATTGCTTTCTTAAATAACTATTAACCTCTGTGCCTGCGCCTATAAAATGGAAATAATTTACTGCAATTATTAACGTCGTAATATGTTAATCTCTGCTATGTATTTGTCAAACACTTTACATATATGATTCTGGTTTTTTGTTGTTGGTGCTATGTTTTTTGTTTTTGTTTTATTTTTGAGACAGGGTCTCCCTGTAGCCTCAGCTGGCCTGGAATTTGTAGACCAGGCTGGCCCCAATCTCATCAAGCTCCACCTGCCACTGCCCTCTGAGTGCCAAGATTAAAGATATGTGCCACCATACTAAGCCAAACATATATGATTCTTGAACAGTCTCATGAAATATTAATTACTGTGTGTGTGTATGCACACATGTGCATGCATGTTTATGTTTGCTTAGCTGCACATGCATGTGGAGGCTAGAGGTCAGTCTTACGTTCATCCTCAGGAGATAGCCACCTTTTTTTTTTTCTTTAGATTTATGTGTGTAAGTGTTTACATGCACGTATTTATGTACACCATGTGCATGCAGGTACCCATGGCAAAAGAGGGCATCAGATCCTCTGGAACTGGAGTTAGACTGCTATGAGCCACAGCTTCCATGTAGGTGCTAGGAAGTGAACCCAGGTTCTCTACCATCACCCAGCTTCTGTGTTTTGAGACAGGGTCTCACTATGTAGCCCCAGCTGGCCTGGACCTGGCTTTGTAGACAATTCCAGGATGGCCTGGATCTCATAGCAATCTGCCTGCCTCTGCTTGCTGAGTACTGGGCTTAAAGGCATGTGCCACCATGCTAAGCTCAAGAGGGTTTTTTTTTTTTTAAAGAATATTTGTACAAATCACAGCAAACATTTCATACAAATTAATGTTTGTGTTTACACAATTAATTGCACCAGTCACAGTAGTCCCTCTTCTAGACTAGTGGGGAGGTGCATCCCGTTTAAAACTAGTTTTACTGTCATCTGGCCCCAGCCCCAAAGTTGAACTTTATCTGCCTTTTATCTCCTATCTGATTGTTTAGTACGTTGGTGAAAGTGAACGTGCTGTGCGACAGGTTTTTCAGCGAGCCAAGAACTCAGCACCCTGTGTGATATTCTTTGATGAAGTGGATGCTTTATGTCCTCGAAGGTCAGACCGAGAAGTAAGTTTCATAGTTTGTCAGTTTATAGATTGTGTTTTCATTCCATAAACCTTTTGTAAACTCCTAGTCAAGTATGTCTTATAAAGTCATTTCTTTGTGAAAATTAGGATTCTTTTACTCAAGAAAGCTAGCAAATTGATCCATTTCCTTTCCATAGACTGTATATGGTTTTGGTTGTAATATGCAATGTAATCCTGACTCACAAATTCTTTTGGGAATGGAAATGATAGTAGTTTTTAGTATTTTGCTTTGTAATCATAGTTTGTTATATGCTTCATTTAAATGGGTCTTGAAATATAGGACAATATAATTTAAGGAAGTGTACATTCAAGGTGAGACCAAGTAAAGAGCTATAAGACCCAGCACCATTACTATCCGTGAAAGAGACTGATCTGTACTTGCATCTTCACACTAATCATGGTTCTTTAGACACTTCAGTATGTTGTGCCAGCTCTTAGGGAAGAGTACTGTTAGATTTTAATGCATGGTAAAGCTCTAGATAGTAGAGAGCATGACCTTTTTGAAACAGATCACAGTGACCATTTAATACATACATTTATGATTTATGATAAGATCACTGAGGAAGTGTCTACACTTCTGAAACCCAGGAATTGTGATCTGTTGTCTCTCATTCAAGTTAGTAAATATATTGAACAGAGAAGGGAAACTGGGGATTGTTTTCCTTGTATTGAAGAGTGATGGAACTACATGTATTTTTGTAGACCGGTGCAAGTGTCCGAGTGGTGAATCAACTACTGACAGAGATGGATGGTCTGGAAACGCGTCAGCAGGTTTTTATTTTGGCTGCCACTAATAGGCCAGGTAAGAAAGACTATCACATAGTGAGTCAAACAAGTGGTTTGTAGCCAGATGTGGTGGCACCTGCCTTTAATCCCAGCAGTTGGGAAGCAGAGGCAGGCAGATCTCTGTGAGTCCAAGGTTAGCCTGGTCCATACAGTGAGTTCCAGGCCACCTGGGGCTATAGAGAGACCCTGTCTCAAAAAGACCAAAAAAAAATCCCATGTGGTTTATAATCAATATAGTTTACCTACATCCTGGTAAATGAAGATTAAATTTAGGTGATTCCTTTTTGGTTCATAAAGTGAAATGAAACCTTAGCTTTTATGTATGCTACAGTAAAAAACGTTATTGCCTGCTTCCCATGACTTTTTCTGTATAGACTCTTTTGATGGTTAGTTTTTATTGTCAATTTGACACAACCTTGAGTTATCTGGGAAGAGGAATCCTCAGCTGAATAATTTCCCATATCAGATTGGTCTGTGCCATGCCTATAACAGATTATCTTGATTGATGATTGGTGTGGTAGGGCCCAGTCCACTATTGGCAGCACCATCCCTACACAGGTGGATTTGGGCATTTAAGAGCGCTGCCTGAGCCTGAGCCTGAGCCTGAGCCTGAGCCAGGAAGCAAGCCAGTCAGCAGCACTCTTCCATGTTTTCTGCTTCAGTTCCTGCTTGAGTTTCTGTCCTCACTTCCCTCAAAGATAGATTATGACATGATCTGTAAGCCAAATAAACCATTTCTTCCCCTAAATTACTTTTGGTTGTGGTATTCATCATAGCAACAGAAAGCAAACTAAAATAACTCTCATAAAGTTGTCTTCTTGGCGAAGAACACTTGCCTCATAGCAGGCCAAAAGAAATGGTTGAGTAATAATTGCATAGCTTCCATTGGGAGAGAAAAATACCATCAGACTAAGAACTTTAGCTAAAAAGGGCATTAATTCTACTTTTTATAGAGGAGAAAATTAGGTTCAGTATGTTTATCAGAACCATGAGTCTCATTTCTAGATTTGCCTCTGTGACACTGTTCTTTTCATTATAAGCTCTCAGACTCACTGTCATGGTTGAAAGTCTTTTCAAAAACATTTGGCTTACAAACACTATTGGAGAAATCAGGACATTTCATGATGAGCCTTAGTGTCCTGACAGTATGAAGCTCAGCACTGCTCCAGTTGCCAAGAGTCAGGCAAACAAAGGAACATGAGACAGTTTCTTGGGAAGATTCAGGGAAGACTTCTGGGAAGGAGATGCCCTCTGAAAATTCCAGCAGACACAGATGAGTGAGAGGGAAGGCAGTTCAGGGAAAGGAGCCACTGAGAAAAAAAAGGTAGGTGGAGAAGGACTCATCTGAGATTGAGAATCCTGGAGAAAGAGCAGGCATGGAGCACTGGTAGAGTTAGATTTTCATCTTCACATTCTGTATTTTACATGCTGCTAGAGAGCTGAACTCAGGTTTGCACTTTACCAACTGGAACTATTATCCCAGCCCCAGAAATTTGTGGTTTTAATACTATTCAACTTACCAATTTTTAGCTTTTTTTCAAAAAGGGCTCTTCCCTCGGGCTGGGCATGGTGGTGCACGCCTTTAATCCCAGCACTTGGAAGGCAGAGGCAGGCGGATCTCTGTGAGTTCAAGGCCAGCCTGGTCTACATAGTGAGTTCCAGGACAGCTGGGGCTACAGGGAGACCCTGTCTCAAAAAGACAAAAAAAAAGAGCTCTTCCTATCTCTCATTAATAACATTTTAAAAACTATTCTGTTTATTTATTTTTTCCTCTCCTCTAGATATCATTGACCCCGCAATTCTGCGTCCAGGGCGGCTGGACAAAACACTCTTTGTGGGTTTGCCACCCCCAGCAGACCGTGCTGCCATCTTAAAGACTATCACAAAAGTAAGTGAGAGAAATGGCTTTTATGTGTATGCACATCTTTTTAAAAATTAAAAAAAAAAATGTGTGTGTGCATGCACCTTTGTGAGTCTTTATGCACTGTGTGCATACACTGCCTTCCAGAGGATGTTGGATCCCCTGGAACTGGAGTTACAGGCAGTTGTTAGCTGCCATGTGGGTGCTGGGAATCAAACCCACATCCTCTGCAAAAGCATTCAGTGTTCTTAAACCTCTGAGTCATCTTTCTAGCCCCTGCTCATCTCATTTTTTAAATTAACAGATAGTAATTCAGGATGGCTAATTTCTTTCTATAACTTAAATGTTTACCAGGCTTCCATCTCCTAAAATAGAATGTAAACTGGTTTTGATCATTAAAGACACTGTCTATTCTCATTTTTATTTGTTCTATGTGAAGATCAATTAAATGGAAGATATTTGAAATTAAGTGTTCAACAAGTGTATCACATATCACTGTAATCACATTTCCTGTACTTTTAAATCTTTGGTCATCGGGTCATATTTGAAATGGAGTAGGAACTTTTAGAGATGTAAAGCAAATAAATATAGGGCCTCCTAAACACCCAGAGAAAAATGGAGTTTTGAAGTTGTCATAATGAAGTCTGTTCTCCATGTTAGCATAGTTAACTTTAAGATGCCTATAGAGTATTGATTTTTCTGGGATTTAAAGTTTAATTAACATCACATACAGAATACAAAGAAAATAGTAATGACCTTACTTTGCACTGCTGGAAATTATGTGCAGTGACATCTCCGTGCCACAGGTTAGCAGATGGTTGAGTGAATAAGGAGGAACTTAAGTGTATTATTTAAAGAAAGCTAATTTGGTTTGAAATTTTAAGGTCCAGGTTATAACCAGTTATTAAACTTTTCTTAATTATTTCTTGTATATATAAGATTTTCCTTGCTAAATTATGCTCCAAGAGTTAAAGAAATTGAGACAGTCACAGCAGAAAAGTCATAACTTTTTTAAGCCAGCCGTCCTGACTGCCCACCCCTACCCTCTTGGAAAAGGGTCTCATTGTGTAATGCAAGCTGTCTTTGAAGCTGTCACACCTTTGTTTTGTAAGGCCTGGGATTACAGGTGGAGCTATCACAGTGGCCATATTTCCATTACTTTTTTAAAACATTTTTTTAAATTTTTATTTGTATGAGTGTATTGCCAGTGTGTATGTAAGGGCACCCATGCCATGCAATGCCTGCAGAGGTCAGAGAGGGCATCAGACACTCAGGAACTGGAGTTTGGTACAGTTGTTAGCCACCATGTGAGTGCTGGGACTCAAACCCCGGTCCTCTGCAAGAGCAGCCAGTGCTCTTAATCCCTGACCCATCTCTCCAGACCCTTATTTTTGTTTCTGAGAATGGGTCTCACTGTGTAACCCTGGCTGGCCTGGAACTCTCTATGTAGAATAAGCTGGCTTCAAATTCATAGATCTGCCTGCCTCTGCCTCCCAAATGTTGACATTAAGGAGATGTGCCAATGCTATTCAACTTATATTATAATTCAGTGACAGCTGGAAATAAGGAAATAATTTTCCTGAGAAAATTAAATAGTCTGTTCAGTGACTTTTTTTTTTTTTTTTGGTCTTTTTGAGACAGGGTCTCCTTGTAGCCCCAGCTGTCTTGGAACTCACTATGTAGACCAGGCTGGCCTTGAACTCAAAGAGATCCGCCTGCCTCTGCTTCTGCCTCCCCAGTGCTGGGATTAAAGGCGTACACCACCACACCCTGCTACAAAATGACTTTTTATTATTGTTTGTTTTGTTTGTTGAGACAGAGTCTCATGTAACCCATGCTGTCTTAGTTGATATGAATTCTTGATCCACCTGCCTCCACCTCCCATGTGATAGTTACAGATATACACCAGGGCACTGAGTTTCAAGGTGATTTGGAACACTGTATTTGTAAAAATTTTCTGAGGACACGGGGGAGGGTGTCAAAATGCAAATAAGATGAAGGTATGAAAGTGTTATAATGACATCCGTTGTTTGGTGTGCTAACCAAAATAAGTCTGAGGCAAGTATGTTCATTCTTTCTGTATTGGCAGATGACTTCCTTTTTCTATTGTGAAATTTTTATCTTTGAATTTTAGTAACTGAAGTAAGATATGCCACTGTCAGTCATTGTACATTGTTGATGGTTCTGGTGGTGTTTTATTTGCAGTGTTGGGGTGTTCATATCTGATGTTCCTTTTATTTTATTCTGTATTAAATTCTTTTTTGTTAGAATCAAATCTTTCTTCATTTCAGGGAAGTTTTTTCCTGACTTTGTGCTTTTTTTTAAAAAATTTTTAATAACTACATGATTAGAAGAAGCATTTCATTACAGCTTTAACATATTCAGTAACACACTCCAGAGCAAGAGTATATATCTTTCACAAGTGGTTGTAAGTTTCTAGGTTCACAGTTGAATTAATACAGTTATACAATATTGAACTCAGTATAAGCCCTGTAAGACATAAATTTGAATGAGTTTTTAACCTTTAAAGAAGCTCTCCATTTCATTTTAGAATATATTGTTCATGCAGAAAGGCTCATTGTTTCTGCTACTAACACTGAGATGTTGGCATATGCATCTCTAATCTGTAAGTATCTGATTATTACTAGTCATAATCGGTTGCACTTGGATCCTTGGCGCCTGTGTATGTCTATAAAGTCATCGGGTAGATTTCAGTGGTAATGTTTATCACCTCTACTAATTAACATGACATAAATTTCCGTGCTTCCTCCTCAAATGTAATACATTTTTT